AGAGAGAGAGAGAGAGAGAGAGAATGAGGGAGGGAGGGAGGTGGGGAGGTCGTGTGCGTGTTAATAATCCGAAACGTCAATGCAAACACATTGCTAATGGTAAATGAAGCTTGTCCAAACACAGAACTATGGAAATAAACTTGGACCTAAACCGTGCACCAAAAAAAAAAAGAAGTAAAAAACAGTCTCGAAAAGGAATCATCCCTGAAATATTATATATAGCAGTCTATTTGACAGATACGGAAATCACTGAAACCATAAGATCTACACGCTGTGAACGTTTCCCCTCTCCCTTTGACACAGTTGAAATCATACGTAAGGGACTTCTTTGACTTTGTCTTTCAGTGCCAATCTCGGCTGAGCGGGGTATTGTCTCCTAACAGAAAGGCAGAGATACTCGGCTTGAAAATCGAACTTACACCTTACGCATTTAACGGGGAAAACTCTATTAAATAGAGGCGGCTAGTATAGTCTACCCGGGATGAGTGGGATACAATATCCAAACAGAAAGATAGAGGAAGAAGATACCAGATGAAGTAGATTTTCCCCTCTTAGGAAAAAGAAAACTTTTAAAGGGTCAAATTTTATACCACAGACGCAAGTCAACCATTAATAAAATTAAAAGGTAAAACTAAATTAACAATAGTACAGTGAAACTTGTCTTAGATGCCCTCCCATAATCGAGGAGAAAAGTAGTTGTTGTAGACAGGTGGACGTGTTTTACACAGTGTCGTTATAACGTTTAGAAAATACGTACAGGAAGTAATGGAAAGTGGTCGTTTGTACAGGTGATCGTCTTATGCAGGTGGCTGTTAGAGCAGGTTTAACTCTTTGAACCCCTTCGGATGCTGGGAGCGTCCAGTACTAGTGACAATTGTTTCGTTTTATTTAGTGCTAGTTTTTGCTTGTTTTTCGGCACTATTCCCGAACCAAATTGTTAGTAATGACTAAGCATTTGTTTCCGCTGTTTAGAAGTCAGTTGGAGGCAAGCTTTTGGTGTTATAATGAGACATAGGGCACTAGGTTTAGGTGACTACAGAAAAAAACAACTCCGGGAAACGGTAGAAAAAACTCAGGGCTATCCGGACAAATCTGTGACTATTGTTCTAGAAGGCGTTCCTGGGAGGCAGAGGGTCAGGTCAAGAATGACGTATACAAGCAGAGGTCAACGACTCAACACATGCCCACATGTACACACGCATGGCTTGTCAAGAAGAAAACTTATAGCAAGTCTTAGCAATAAAAGTCATGGCTGTAGTAGGTGAAGATATTATTTCAATGATTTGTTTCTTTTTTAATGAGGGTGCTTTAGGCTTTCATTGACACAATTTATATATTTTTTTAGGAGATCAGCCTTGATCAGAACCAGCCCAGGCTGAAAGAGATATTTTACACCATACAGCATCCAAGCAGAAAGACCTAGAAACTCGATAAATACCCCCCCCCCCCGGAATCGAACTCAGGTTTTCTTCGTGTCACAGAAAAGTTTTTAACCGCTACACCATAGGTGCCTATTTAATAATAATAATAATAATAATAATAATAATAATAATAATAATAATAATACATGTACTACTACTACTACTACTACTACTACTACTACTACTACTACTACTACTACTACTACTACTACTACTACTACTACTACTACTACTACTACTAATAATAATAATAATAATAATAGATAGCATTTGAATAGCGCAAATCCACGCGCAACAGCAAGCTCTATGCGTTTCACAAACTACACCATTACCCCAGCAGACCTGAGAGTATTCTGAAACAACCTCAAATTACTGGGTAGCATACAGTGCAAGCAGACATTTCTAGGAGCTAAAACACTAACATTAACATACTGACAAGATCTTTTGCTGTCTATGGCCAGGTACTAATTCCCACCTGGGTGGAGTGAGGAGAACCCATGTAAAGTGCTTTTCCCAAGGACACAACGTCGGGCCCGCGGCATGAACCCTCGAACCGCAACCTCACGATTACGAGTTCGGTAGCCTTACCACTAGACCATCGAGGCCATTTAAGATTAGTTTTGTTGTTTACAAAATTGACAGTAATATTATAGAACTTACCAGAACTTTCTGGTCATTCTCCAACTCCACTAACATGTACGCCTCTTCCTTTTTGTGACTATTCCGACGAAATCTGGGTAAATGATAATGATGATGTCTTTGCTGCTGCCGTTGCTGCTTCTGCTGGTGTAGTTGAAGCTGTTTCGGCTTGAAATTCGGCAGAAGGCTCGGGTTCGAGTGCCGCCTCATATTATGAGAAGCAGTAAGAAGGAGAGGCGGCGGTTGCTGTCTACGATCATTACTCCGAGGACTCGGGCTCGGGCTCGGGCTCGGGTTCGGGCTCGCTTCGATCACGGGCGAGGACGCTCGTTTGGAGGAGGTGTGTAGAAAACGCATCGGCGAGATAATATCCAGTGACCATCGCCGAGATTTCTGGGATCTGGACGGTTGAGGCAGTAGGGGAGATTGGGTGGGCGCGA